TTTTTTCTGTTTTGATCCTTTCCCAGACAATATGTCTGATCGTGCTTTTCGGAGGCATTTGCAAGAGGAGTGATTTTCAATGTACAGTCAGTGATTCTGGAGAATTCCCAAATTATTCCTTATCATTCATGAGAGGTAGTTAAGAAAATCAAGTCTACTGTCAGCTGGGCTAAATGTTCTGCTTAGAGATCAATTTCAATCCATTGAAACAAGTGTCTGTAATGAAAACTCTTGCTCTAGACTTAGATCTGTTTTTTTCCACAAAAAGTGTTGAATGAATAATTGATTGCAAATGCTCCATTCCACTTCCACATCTTCTCACTGCTTTAAGAGGAAGTAAAACTCTATATATAGTAGTGACAAGACAGAGCTCAAAGTTATTTGCGCATACAGTTTCTGACATAGTTTTTGTCTTTTTGGTACTACTGAGGCACATAATCCCATTACTGATTTTAAATAGCAAAACCAGAAATTACCAAAGATGAGAAGACTGATCAGCACAGAATTAATATATTTTACATAATGAACTTGATGTTATGATGGACTAAATAGAAAGGCAAGGTTAGAGATAATAGACTTTTTTTTTTATCTATTACAAAACTTGATAAAAATGTAGCAGTTGGTCACAGGTCTAAGAGCTGTCAGTGAACGATTAAGAAAAAGCAGAATGTAATACAAGGATGTAGTGACATGCAAAGTATTTCTGGGCAATAGGAACAGAGAGATCTAGTGTTATTTATGAAGACATTGGCATCCTGGGCACAGGAGGTGCAAGGATTAAGTCAAAAAAGTTCAAGAAGGATTAAGTCCACAAGCACAGATAGCCTGTTGATCAGAACAATGGAAAAATGGTCCTACAGGACCAGAGGAGCTGGCTCATATCCTTTGGCAAAAGGGTTTGTCAGAAGAGATACTGATGGCAGGAGACAGAAGCAGGAAGTGACATTAACTACTTCACTGCTCATCTGATTACTAATATAGAGAACATGATGCCTTTATGTACTCTGCATCATACCAGCCCACTGGTGTACTGAGATTTGAAACACAGCTATCCTCTAAAATGTTTACTTCTTTCATCTGTACACTGCTTGCAGTTTCTCATTCTTTTTTTAAGCTTTGCTGGTTTGTTGTGGTTTTGGGTTTTTTCCTATAAAAAGTCTCACAGTTGGAGGTTTCAAATTCTAATATGGAAAAAACTTCTATGGCTGTACATGATCATAGTGCCATAAGGTTAAAAAAATGGGTCATATAGGAATGATTAAGAATAAAATTTTACATGTGTTGCTGAAGAAGATCAGATTTTCTGAAATGTTCCCCATCTTATCTACAGAAACATTTGTATCACATTGTGTGTGATCACATTCCTCTTTCTTGCAGTGGTTTCTGTAGTTGACTGCATGGCTTTACCTGCCTTTCTGTTCTACACTCTGCTGTGCAAAGTGTCCTGGACCCTCCCTATGCTTCCCATTTCCACAGCAGCTGAACAGCCTTTGCTAGACAAAGACACAGTCTCGAGTTTGTATTGCTGCTCCTGTCTTGGTCATTTAGGATGATCCCTAAGGAATGCAATTAAGAGGAATGGCATGCAGGGATAATGTACAGCATTAATTATTGATACCAATGCATAATGCTGGACTTAATATATCCTCAATACAGGAACCCAAGCATATGGTAAAGTCATAATTATGCTTATAAATCAATTAATTACCAATTCTCTGCGTTGTTACTCTTGTTTGTTTTCAAGGAAGACCCTTCTAATTAGGCCGTATTATAACACTGCTAGTGGAACCTAAAGCAGTTATTAAGTCACTGCAGGGGTAACATGGGTTACATTGTGGTGCAGAATATGGCATGTGACAGATGTATTGATGGTCTCATCTTCTGTCACAGGCTGTGATGACCAGAAGTGTTGGCTGACTGTTGTCATTCAGCTCTTCAGCTGACTGGTTCTAAAGGCAGCTTGAGGCCTTTGTGCAGATCAGGAGAAAGGGAAAAGCTTTCCAACTGAGGTTCATTTTTCCATTGACTTATTCCTCATTTCTGAGTCTAGGAACCTGATTCTTAATGTATTTAAATATACTGCACACAATACTTCAGTCACACTATTTGGGTGAAGAGAATACAATTCAATATACTTCTAGGAAGTCCCAAAATGTTAGAACAAATATATTGTGCTTATGGAGCGTGGGAAGAACATCATTTGAAGAGGCATCCTGTGGGCAGAATTTGAGGAACCAACAGCCAAGTGTTCTTGTTAAAAAAGGTTTCTGAGGATTTCTTTGTAGTAATGTCATGTATGAAATAGAGTGAAAATGCTGAAAGTGATCATAGAACCACTGTGCTACAAATGTGGCAACACATTTTTTTATTTATTTAGAGTAAGATGTGTTAACATCCAGCATGACAAAATTTGTACAAAGTTCACAATTTAAAAATGAAGTATCACAGCAACTTGTGATTCCACACATTTATAGCAAAATTAAAATGTCAACAAATCCATGCCGTGTAGTACAAAAATAAATCAAACTTCAGTTCCACAGAGAGCACAATAAATAGTTTATACAAAATTCTGTCTTAATAAATGATTACTTAAATTAACTTAGAAATGAATATGAACAATAAGTTATAATAAATAAACTCTGATGACTCACAATAATTTCATATGAAAGGTCAGCATTCTAATATGTGACACTTTTGTGATCCCTATATAATAGTCACAGATAACTTTTGATTTGATATTATGTACCAACATTAGATGAGCAGCAGATTTGTGCTTAAAATCCCTTTCCATTGTACATAGGTGATAACAATAAGAATCCAAAACTGATACTATCTATTACTCTACTGAAAGCATTACTATATTGGCAAAGAAGCTGCAGACACAATGCAGTGGAAAAATGCATATGCCATTATGAACAATGAAAGCCCTAAAAGGAGGCTAGGGCAAAAGTACAATATATATGGCAGAAGGTGAACAACAAGCACCTTGCTTCAGCTCTCAAAAAGGCAATTCTGAGCATGGCAGCTACAACTAATAGCACAACAGAAAAAGGGCACTGTACAGATAAGATACTGCAGAGCCCCAAAGTAATTACATAATCTTTTCCCAGCTAGTTATTAAAGTCCTCGTGGAAAACTGTAAGCTTTTGTACAGTGAATAGTATAAAGTGCCGCTGGGATATACATATATTTATACATATATATATATACCGAGGTTGAGTATTGTATCAGAATATTTGTTGTGAGATCCCTGTAGTCTCCCTTAGCAATATTACTGGAGTGGCCATAATGGCTTCCACTATAATTTGTTCAGGTTTAGTGTCACAAGGCTAATGACACAAGAAATTGCACACCTCCGTATGGATATATAGGGCAAGGTAAGTGCAAATAGTCAACTGGCACATTGTGGGGACAATGACCCTGTAAGTCCTGTTCTGCTAAAAATATTTTATTTTTTACAAAACCCATCTTTTTCATAACAAAATTTTAAAGTACTTTTGTACTTTCTGCATAACATCAAGACATGGAAGGAAAAGATATGCTATCAAATTTAAATAAAGTCAACATCTGTAAAACACAACACATCACCAAATTTACTACTTAAAAAAGAAAGATGTAGTAATAAAAAGTGGTCTTATGCATACATATAGTGCAGTCATTTTGAAGAAAACAATCAAATTTTGAAGGTACAAATAAGTTTTATCTTAAAATGATCCTGTTTAAAGCAAAAAAAGTGCTGAAGTATATTTAATTACATTAAAAATTTGATTGCATTCATTTTTGCAATAGGTGACAGTAGAACAAATACAAAGCATATGTGAATGCTGCAGTAATGATTGTTCTCCAACAAAAAGCAAAACATAAATATTAAAATGTTAAAAATGGGACTGAATGTTTGGCAAAGCAAAAGGAAAAATCTTTACTGAACTGCATTCCTACTACAGATAGCAATGAATGCAGTTCAGTAACTGTAATAGACACAGATCATTTGTATTTATCCCAAAATTAAAGATGTGAAAAGGCAATATTAACTTTTAAATATTGTCCTCCATCTTGAATTGAAACCACAGAATTTCTGAAAGATGAACTACATTGCTATAACAGATAGTTCAGAGGGGCACTAGCAGTCCGGTAGAAATAAGAGAATGTTGGCTCCAAAGTTTATTTGAAAACAAAAGCTGAAATCTTCACGTTGTCCACCTCTGATATAGTTCTTTTCATAATGGAAGTTCCCATATTCATACCATGTAATGCTTAGAAGTTAATTAAAAAGTGCTGTTTAAGCTGCTTTGAATCTTCTGTCAAGTTTCCATGGCTTGATGTTGTCTTACAATAAATTACCCATTTTGTAACTTACATCTAATCCATGCCATTTTCTTGGAATTCAAAAAACCTCATTTTATTGCCCCCACCACACACCATCCTTCAAAAACAAAAGTCACATAATATTTTCAAGCATTGTTCAAAAATAAAGCATTTTTGCAACCAATTCTTGCTATGAAACAATATGCACACAAAATGTACTTCTTAAATCCCATAAAATCCTCCAACATGAGGCAAAATGATAGTGTTTAAAAAGTGGCTGCAGACTGCAACATTGTCATTCAAAGCTGTTTTTTTTTTTTGTCCATTTCAGTTCAAAATACTAAAACATTTAATCACTAAAGCATTAAAAAGAATTTACACTCTATTTATTTTGATCAGCTTACCTCTTCAGAAATATATATACCCCAAAAATGTGCATACATTAGCAGCTATAAACATTACATGGCATATCACACTATGTCAGCTTATATGAAAACGTACAAAATGTGAATGTATTCAAAAAACTATTCTGCAGTTACTATCTTTAAAGCAAGACATAAAATCATTATGAAGTCTTGTAAGCATAACACTGTTTCAAACAGAAATAAATATATAACACTTTCTGGTAAATTACAGCAGCAAAAAACAAGAGGCATCCTTTTTTTAAGCAAGATTTTCATCACTATAGCAGCTGTTCAGACCTGAATTCCTCTCACAGCCTGCTTTATATTTTCCAGTAGGGCTTTATTTTCTGGACTCTGATAACGATCTTGATTTGTATACATGTCCGTCAAAGTGGTCACGTAAGCATCAAAATTTTGTTCATTGATTGGTTCCTACGAGATATTAAATAGTAGTTCATATACAACTTTTATTTTCTTAATCGTATATTCATTTAAGCACAACATATTAGCAAGGCATACTGCCACCATTTTTATAATATTTAAAAAGCCTATTTAGTTCTTACTTAATTTTACAGGATACACTGGAACAGGCCCTCCATGTCTGTTAGCAGTTAAATGTATCTCTATGGTTTCAGTGCTGTTACCACAAATATCCAACTGGTTGATGAAACATAAACATAAAAAAAAGGTATCTATTGTATGAGGTGAACTGAAGATCGCCAAATTCCTTAACTTGTGCTCTCAATCACTTACCATATGTGGCAGCTGGATATTAGCTAGACTATGAATTAAAGACTGGCTTAAATTGGCCAATTCATGAAGAAGAGACTCATTTTGCTGTTCAATTACTTTGTTCTCCTCTTCTATCGTCTTCAGGTTGCTCTCCATTGTGGTAATCTAAAATGGACAAATTTGTATACAATGTAATATAAGGCAAACTGGTACAAAACATGCACTCTTTGAAGGGAGCGAGAAGAGAAATACCAGGGAAAGGAGAAAAGGTCTATTCATTCATGTTTAAAAAGGTTTTGCTTGAGTCTGCAGTTCTTATAGTCACTAAAGCTTTCTTATTCTCACTGTATGTTGTATAACTTTAACAGCTTGTCTTTTCAATACTGGTAATAGTGAGTGAATGAACTTGGATTCGATTCCACTCCTTTAGAGCTTTTCTTGTATAGTTGAAAGGCATTAAGGACCTTAGTTCTGCAAGTTCACCCATGCAGTTAAGACTCCTAGAAGCCAATCTTAGGGGCATTCTGCAGTCAGTCATGCTTTTCTTGTATTTTCAGCTACACATATATCTTGTTAATTAAGAATGCACTGCTCCTTGCTGCCATGTTTCGCTCTCTGTAAGTATAATATGATTCTGTGCAAACTCACGGGGCTACTTTTGAAAGCTGAACAACTGCATGTTATTGCAATGTATGTACAAGTTCAGAAAGTTTTCCAATATATACAATGACTTGTGAAACTGAAGAATATTTGCACATAGCCCTGTGGCATTGTTTCATGTACAGGTGAAAACAACTGAGATTGTGCTCTGCCTGTGTTTCCAGGTGACCAAACATGTTAGCTCTGACCTTGCATGGTGCCTGCTTAAGCTAAATGCATTGCTGAGAGAAAGCTTCCCTGAGCTTGTGGAGAGCACTGTGTTAATGCAGTTATAAGGATTTCAGATGAGCACTGGCTTATATCCAGATCATCAAGAGCACATGCAGAGCTCACTCACATCTGCCTGCACTTTCCTCTGCAGCCCTGTCCTTACTTTCCACATGGGGTGATAACTGTTGACATCTAGTTCAGAGTGTACAGTGTGCTCTGTGTGTGTGTAGGTTAAAATATGCATTGACAAGAAAAAAGAAGCCAGTGAAGTGGAAAAAATGCCAAAGAACACAAGGTTTTGAATTCTCAAAATGAGGTTTATCCATTGGCCTATCCACTGGTTTATACACTGGCCTAAAGACTGAGCTATGGGAAGAATTGATACAATTAAAAAAATGCTGATGGGAAGGTCAGAGGTTTGTGTAGTAGTAACAGGCAGAAGGGTACAAGTTCTAAACTGCATATTAACTTGACCATGGGTGAGCAAATGTTTGGAAACTGGTGGCACAGTCAGGTAGTTAGAGGTATCACGTTTTATTTCGGACCTAAACTTTCTGTCTGCTTATGGAAATACAGCCCACCAGTTGATCGAAGTAACTTTGAAAAGTTATGTGTCTACATTAACAGTCTCCAAATACCTCTTGCTTTGACTACAGGTGCATACTGCAGTTAATCCAAGTTGCCAGTACTGTAGGGACCTGGTTTTGTCCAATTAATTCTGAGCTATTTCCACAAAATATATTAGAAAGGAAAATACTTTCTTCATATTTGAACCTGGACACCTGATTCTCCTCTCTTATTTTGCTTTCAGCTCATTTATATTGGAGGGAAGTGCTGTATCCAAATGCAAAACATCTTTCATAGGTGCTTCTTAGAGTCAAGTCATACTCCAATATCTATCCTAATTTTTTTATATATTACAGACTAGAATGAGGAGTCTGATGCCAGTGAAGGCTCAGTTCAGTATGGCATACTGCAGCCACCTCACACTAACTTCAGCAGGAGCTGACATTCTATAGATTTTCTATCTAGCTGAGCATTGCAACTTCAATCATATTTTTTCGTTTTTCCATGAGATGCTGAGTATCTGCAAATACAGTGGCAGATGATCAGGATATCTCACCACTTCACTTAGTAATAATCTATAAATTCATCTGTTTTAAATTTAATTCTTGTATTTGTTTGCTTAAAGGCTGAAATTTCCCTCCCCACATTTTACCCTAAAACTAAGAAATGTCTACTTGTATGTATTCTGAAAATAGGCTAATCTGTTGCTTGTATGAAACACATAATTATTTGCAGATTTATTCTTCCCCTCTCCCCTTTATGTGTTTCTGCTCCTCTAATATTTGCATGTTAAATTTGAACAAATTTACTAGATTTTAGGTTAAAAATACTTTCTCCAAAGTCTGAAGTAAAAAGGCAGCTGAGCAAAGGAGTGTTACAACTGCTCCAAGAAAAAGGACTGACTTCTCACTTTATTAAATAGAAAAATTCTACATCTAAGAATTTAATGTAGAATATGAAAAACTTTCACTGGCACATACAATCATATGGATTGCAAATCTGTATCAAACAAGACTGTTGCTACTTCTGGTGTTCACATAACTTCCACTATTTTCCCATTGCATATTTCCCATCTGTCATGTCTTACTGAAATCTGAGCTGCACAATGGTTTTCTGAAGGTTTATCAGCAAACATTTTGTTATGTCCAATATAATTTTAGTTTTGCAAATTAAGGGGACTGTTGACTTTGATCCTCTTAATAGTTTGATAATGACTATGATGTAACTCTCTGTGTGTTGTAAATGTAAATTGCTTATCTTCAGGAAAGTGTATGAATTCAAAACTAAGGCCTCTGAATTTTTTTGTGAAATTTAACTTGGGATTCTCTGCAAGGCCTTGGTAGCTAGCTGGGTAAGAACAGATAACCACTAGACCAGATTACCCAGAGATTGTCGGAATTCTAGTATGGAAAGTAAAGAACAAATTAGACAAGGACCTGTCAGGTTTAACTTAGAAAGATCTTAGGAAGTAAAGATGACTGGTGGACAAAATAATGTTTTTGTGGTCTCCTGTAGCTCTACTTTTTTAAATCCCATTAATCATTTTAATCTACATTTTTTCTAAATCTGAATTGCAGTACTGAATTGTGAAAAATAACCTCTTAATGGTGAAATCACCAGCTGAGCTTCCTTTTACCAAGAACATTCAGTGGTCCCACAAAGTGTCTAATCTGATTTCTAAGAATATGCAATGGCACTAGTCTGAAGTATGAAAGCTGGAACTGAGACCATTAAAGTATGGCTTCTGTACTCATTTCAGATCAAAGGTTGATGTGAAATTCCTAGATAAATCTCTGAAACTCAATACATGTTTATGCCTGTGATAGTGTTATCATGGGTTTATTTTTCAATTAATCTAGCCAAATGTGAGATTAAAGGTGCAGTAAATTACTGAAAACTGGAGCATTTACCCAATGTACACATAACAGCAAAACTGCTTCACACATTTTAAAAACTCAGCTAAATCAGTATGTATGTGAATAGCACCTACAGTGTATTAAGCAGAAGAAAACATAAGGCCATTGGAAGCTGCCAGATCCAGAATTTATGACCAAATTTCTCAAGAGTAAATATATGTAATTTTCCTGCCACTGATTATTCTTCTTGCTTTATATTCTTGCAGATTTTGCCCTCATTATCCTACAGTTATATTTGGTCACATCAGGAAACTGTGTAAACCATAAATAAAATCCTATGAAAGCTGAATAATGACAGAACTCTGAATGCAAGCATAAAGAAGGGAAGTTTCAGTATCAATCTGGCTAAGGTTTAGAAATCAAATAAAAAACCAAATTGAAAAAGTAGATCCTGCCTTGTATTTATAGCTATAGAAGAGGAGAAGGAGAATGGACGTGGTGCCTATCTCCACAGGCAGCAGATAAAGAAGTAACAAGGAATGATTTACTCTGTTTCTGTTGAGATTGTTTGGGTGTCTATGATCATGGGACTAAAGACTGACAAATGGTGACTGTGATGAATTTCACTGTTAGCGTCTGTGCTCAGATCATGTGAAAAGACAAGCACCAGAATGTATGCTGGACACTGAAAATTTCTAGGGGAATTGAATTGATTTTGTTTTTTTTGCTTTTTCCATCAAGTTTTAGGACTGCTGAATAATGGTATTTTAGTTAATAGTCTAATGTTAGGTTTTCTGCTTTCTTTTTCCCCCCAACAAATTTATGTGGAATGAAAAAAGAACTAAGCTGTATCTCTGGAACCACTACTGCTGCCAAGGGCTGCATTCAGTGTATCCCATGATGAAGTGTAACAGGTACTCACTTCTCTATCTCAATTTCCTCTGTAAGACATGGCAAAAGCCATGTTGTTCATCTGGGCTCCTTCACCTTGTAGCTTATGTTAATGACCATGCTGTCACACAATATTTTAACTGCTATTAGAAAGGCATAGCCTTATCAAGGGGAAATACCAAGCTGACCATGTCAGGTCATTATTTTAAAGAATATATTTTGCTGAGTTATTTTTATTTTTTTTTTACTGTTGGCAACCGACATGAAAATTGCATAATGAACACTGTTTTCAAATTTTATAAATAGAAAATTATGCACAGATATCTTAATATGTAAGAAACATGAAAGGGAACAGTATATTTCCTATATTTTTTTAATCAGTTGTGTAGAAAAAAGCAGCTTGAATTTAGGGCTTCATAAAACTGTTACCTGAGTTCTGAGTTTAATCATATCAGCTTCCATCTGGGAGTTGGATTCATTTAGTTCTTTGATTTCTTCATCTAACTGTTTAATTTCTTCATCATTTTCTATACCTGTGTGACATAAAAATAAAAGGGGTGTTAAAATAATTAAGGTTTAAATCAGAGTTCAGTGAATTAATTATTTCTATATTTGAAAATCAATTTATTTCAAGCAAAAAAGAAAAAGGAAGAATTTTTCAAACTTTTATTCTGCAGTTTAAAAGAAGTATTTTCCACTACTTTTCCTTTTAAAATTGCAGTAATTCTCCAGTGAGAGTGTTGAAAATGCCTGGAGGATCAAAAGGACCTTTATATATACTCATTTAACTTTATATTATAAGAAATGTACCTGCAGCAACAAATTTTGCTCCACTGTCATATGTAATTTATTTAAAGAGTGTGTCCACTTACAGATCTTCTGAAAGAAGGTAAAAAATCTTAACATGGTAATCTCTTCATATTACAGCATGATCAAGAGAACTTGTAACTAATTCAGAATTTTTTTTCTCAGCAAAGAGAAATTTTGGTGATGTATTGGGATATACTGTGATTCTGCAGTTGTTTTTAATGCTTGATCGAGGCTCAGAATGATTCATGAAGGGTTCAGAAGGGTATTATTAAATAACAATATATAATTTGCCAAATGAAAGTGCTTTCTATCATTTTGTTACATAAATATTAAAAATCACAGAATTTTAAAGGTATCTGGATTTCTAAGAATCCAGACAGGAATAAATGGTGACAGTTTAATCTATTTATCCTTATAGTTAGTATAAAAATGCATAAAATAATCCTGGAAAGAGACAGATTTGTTTTTTCTCAAGTCCAAGTGTGAACACCTAAAGCCAGTGAAACTGGTGCTCCCACTCTCATTCTTATGCTGGTGTGAATATTTCACACCTTTCCCCACAGTGCCTGACTCTGATGTTACAGAATGGCTTGGGTTGCAAGGGACCTTAAAGATTATATAGTTTCAACCCCTCTGCCACAGGCTGGGACACTTTCCACTAGACAAGGTTTCTCGGAGCCTCATCCAGCCTGGCCTGAAACACTTCCAGGGATGAGGCATCCAAAGCTTCTCTGGAACAACCTGTTCCAGTGTCTCACCACTCTCACAATAAAGAGTATTTTCCTCATATCTAAACCTACTCTCTTGCAGTTTGAAGCCCTTTTCCCTTTGTCCTGTCACTACATGCCCTTGTAAAAAGTTCCTCTCCATCCTTGTTGAAGGATCCCTTCAGGTACGGGAAGGCTGCAATTGGGTCACCTCAAAGCCTTCTCTTCACCAGGTTGAACAATCCAAATTTTCTCAGCCTTTCCTCACAGCAGAGGTGCTCCATCCCTCTGATCACCTTGGTGGCCTTCTCTGGACTCACTCCAACATGTCCTTCCTGTGCTGGGGACCCCAGGGCTGGATGCAGCACCTTACCCTTGGTCTTGTGAAACCTCATGAGATTCCCATGGGCCACTCCTCAAGCTTGTCCAGGTCCCTCTGGATGGCATCCTGTCCTTCAGGAGTGTCACTGCACCACAGCTTGGTGTCATCTGCAAATTTGCTGAGGGTGCACCTGATTCCTTTCTCTATGTCATTAACTCAGATATTAAATAACACTGGTCCCAATACAGACCCCTAAGGGACAACACTTGTCCCTGATGTCCATCGGGACTCTGAGCCATTGGCCACTACCCTCTGGAAGTGACAATCCCACCAATTCCTTATTCACCTAACACTGCACCCATCAAATTCATCTCTCTCCAATTCAGGGAGAAGGATGTTGTGGGAGACCATGGCTGTGGCTTTACAGAAGTCCAGGTAAATGACATATGTCATAAGAGCTACATAGCTCTTCCCTTGTCCATTGATGTAGTCACCCCATCACAGAAGGCCACTGAGTTGCTCAGGCAGGCCATGTGTCCAAGTAGTCAAAATATCCACATATTACTCCTTAAGGCATTCTTCCTGGACATGGCAGATATAGTTTTCAATACTACCAAGGTTCTAGAGAAAATAACATCCAGATCTTGCACTCCATGGTTACAAGCTTTTGAATAAAGACAGCCACTGCTTTCTCCATCTGTGCTGCCCATGTGGGCTGAGGTGCCTCCTGCACTGCGTTCAAATGCTCAGTGGCTCTAACACAGTTAACGCCAACAGTTAAGAAGGCACACACTGTCAGACTAAGTGACTACATCGTTTTCCAAGAAAACTCAGGACGTGGGCACCTCCCAGACAAGTCTTTATCATATTACTTACTTGAACTGAAGCCCCTACATTTTGCTTTTACTGCACTTCAACTACCAGGGTACTATCCTGACTTTCATCCAAGGTACTTCCATCATCTTCCCTGCAACTCAAGGTTCCCAGGAAGAATTGCAGATTACTGGAGCTGAAATAGCACAAAGTCATCTCCATCTGCCAGAGGTTATAGAGCCATAGGTCCAAATGAATTCAAGGGAACTTAGGAGGAATTAACACTCTGGAAATAAACCCTTTTTCTTTTCTGAATCCTGCAACAATATAAGACTAACTATTGCTCTTTGATGAATGGAATGTGAACCAGTAAATTATAAGGGTATATTCTACTTTGAAATATTTTAGAGTTTAAGATAGACATAACTTGATCTGACTGCTCTACTCCTGGCTCAGGTTTCCAGAGCATAAGACCTGGTTTCACTTCTACAGACAGTGAATTCACAATTTATATAGAGTATAGGAAAAAATGCAATAGAGTAATGGTAACTTTAGTTTACAGCAAATTAGTATTTAAGAACATAATGATTAAAAATTTACCATTACTGGCCCGCTGCTTTATTGTTAGCATTTGTTCTCCAGACAGCTTTGCTTTCTTCATTGCTGAAGTAGCTCTGGGGCATCCTGATAAACTGTGAACAGTAAGGAGCCTGTTAATTTTGACAGGTCATTGAAAAGAAATCTGTAATCCAAACCTGTAATAAAAACAGCATCAGAGACATAGTTTATCTTCACTGCCTAGCACTGAAAGAGTGCACTAGTCTGAAAAAAAATGACTTACCAGTAGTGATTTCATTGTTTTGTTTTTCTTCCAAATTCTTTTTGCATAGACAGCTAATATAAAAGTCAGCTATACAGTTCAATTTTCTTAAGACAAGATAATTTTAATAATAATTTTATTTTAAAAGCAGTTATTGTGTAAACACTCCCACTTGAATTTCATGTCCCTGCTCTGAACTTCCATCCTATTTTGATTCAAATGTTCAAACACGGAACTGAATGCTGAGAGAACAGGACATGAGCTAACTCTCACATCCAAATGACTACCTCTTATAAACTGTGTTTCTTTGTGAATATCACCTACTGAGCTGGCTAAATTGCCCTTTTCTAAATTTTTTCTTAAAATGGCAGTAACTATGTGCTGGCTTTTTGTTTCAGCCCAAGGAAAGTAATTCCAATAAAAGTGACCTTGGATATATATGTCTTATAGTGCAAATTTGTTACATTTATGGATGTAGATTCAGTTATCTCTTCTCTCTCACATTGCCAAAATATTAAGCTTTTAAATTACATTGCACAAAACTGTTTGATAGCAAATGCAGTCTTAGCTGGCTTTATTGTAAAAATTAAAACATGGATCAGACAGTGCTCAGTACTTAACAAATAATGGTACGCCAAACTAGCTGCTTTTTCCAAAATCACATCTTTTATGTAGTTGCACTATTGCAGATAAGAGAAAATACATATTCAATCTAATTTAATGACGGAAAACTATAATCTTATTCTGAGGAAGCTTTACCTTTAGTGAAGAGAATTTGGAAGTTTGCTAAACAATTTCCTGTTGCCTCAACATTTCATTCATAGCCATGCAAAATGAGTAACATTATGAGCTTTTCATTGCATACAGGCACATTTATATTTCCTCTTCAGATTCAAAGGAAGACTTTTCCGTACAATTTTTAATTGTGAAAATCAGATTCAAATCTAATACACAAATAATCACTCTGCAATATGGAGGAAAGTGGTGTCTTTGATTAAAAGCATTTATTTAGTTAACAACTTCCTTTAGTTAGCAACTTCCTTCTAAACAAAGTCCTCTAATTTAGGTATAGTGTTTGATTACTGAAAATGTTTCTCTGAAAAGAAACAAAAAAGGATTGCTCTTAGAAAAATAAATTAAAAACAATATTTTCTCAGCAAAAGAATCTGTGTTCAACATTTTATACAGCTTTGTGACTAAGAAGATGTATAATAAAATAATGCTAGTAGTATCAAGCAATGGCATGACCTAGTAGCTTTTGGCTGTAGCCTAGTTGGTAGGATGCCGAATTACTACTCCAAAGTCTGCTATGGACTCAGTGTGTGACTGTAAACAACTGTTCTCTTGAAGAGTCAAAGCGAGTCTTGAAGACGATTAAGGAGGAGAGGATCTGGAGTTTTGGGAAAAAATGTTGGCACGGAGAAAGAAATGGGATAACAGTATAAGCAAAATTTCTGCATCATTTAACTGACTTCATTTTTGTAACCTTTCAGTTGATTTAATGAATTTTCTCATATTTTGTCCTCACTCTTTTTCAGAAGAAGTTAGCATCATTAGCCATTATAACAACTGCATTACTTTACTCTCATCTTGCTTTGTAGCCTTTTCCTCTCTAAAAGTCTTGACTGATGATAACCCCTCAAAATAAAATCAGCCTTCAGTCTAAGGATACAGCATTTAAACAAACCAACAAGAAACCTGGATGCTAGAACAGCACACTTGAGAACAAAGAAAAATAATCAAATCAAATTTGTTCAGAAGTATTAGAAATCTACCGTGTGTGATTCAACATCCCTAAATCTAAATTTTGGTGCCAAGGACGCAATCTTAGTCCCAGGCCATGATTCTATACACCAAGTTTTCAGGAGTGCCTAAACCCATAGATATCTTCTCATCTAGTCTGGAAGGTTATCTCTCTACTGGTGTGCCCACGGTGCTCTAAGGTGCGCTGTCACCCAGAGGCCCAGGTACAAGGTTCCATATGTGCAACACTAAGCTTTCCTATTCCACAAAATAGGGTGGTCACATTCTAGCTGCCAAACAGCAACTGTTCGTGGCCCATCACCACTGGAGAGAGGTGTATTGCTGGGGTAGACACGTATGGAGCACCTATAGCTTGGCTGCAGTTCAAGCACCCTGGCACCAGCTGCCTTCTGCCTATACTGAACCACAAAGATCTGGGTGCTGTGCTCCATCCTTGCTGCTGGAACTGTTGGAGAGTCATTCTGCATGGATTATCTACTTTCTTCTGGAGGCACCCAGATGAATCATGAGTTAGTGAGGAGAAAGGCAAACGGTGACTATTTTTTGGGCATACTAGTGAGGATGCAGAAGGCTTCCACATTCTGTAGCCAGATTAGTTTTGTTCTAACCCACTGGTGATCTAATACAATATGTACAGACAGAGGAGGGCTTTGACCAAAATGGGTTTTTGAAATGCATCTGCATGCCTAATCCACAAGCTTCCTCTTTTTGCTTCCCCAATCCTTACATGCATGGTTTTAGCTTGTGCATCATGCACGTCTATGACTACCTTTAGCTTGTTATGTGTCTGTTCTTAGAAGAGGCCATGAATGAGCAGATGGTCCTAAATTTTCCAGTGGCTTTATGTAATTTAAGAAAGCATTCAGAACTCCCAAAGGTGTCCTCGTCACCACAGAGGAAGATGTCAAAGCCAGACCATGTCATTGCCTTCTCTGCAGATCTTTGCTGGCAAATCTGTCTCTTCATTAACTGTATATTGTATTGCAAGCAGATGAGTTCACTTTCCTGAGCCAGACGCTTTTAGTTTCAGTGAAGCAGATACCAAGTCAGTAACCTAAATTAAGAGTACTGATTTTTACTACAGTTTGTTTAACTTGTCTAAATTCTTCAGAAATGAGTTAGTCAAAGATAGCAATTTTGCTTGGCTCTGTTCTTAATTAATTTACCTAAAACTGTTTTAAGTAATTAAAAACTAAATTAGGACTTTTACAATAAGCTTCTACTCTGCAAGGACATTCTACCTGCTCGATTTTATCTTATTGACTACATTTACTTCTACTGAAGACAATGGCTCTTTAAATAGAGAATAGTGAAAAGAACTGAGGATTTATGGGAAGATGAAAAACAAGGTCAAGTCAGTGTTGCACCAAAAGTGGGCTGTTGTACAAAGGCTGAACCCTACAGAGGTGTAAAGTTAACCAAAAAGCTTGAATTGAGATCCCAGTGAGACAGAGAGTTGCTTGGCATTTCTAGAAGACTGGGGGACAGAAGGACACAGGAGTAGATACGATTTTATTTTTTTTCCTGTGGTTGGCAAACAAAAGAATACAAGTGAAAGCTATTTTAATGCTTTAAGACTTAGGTAATACATGCTTTGAATATCTCAAAAATTAAAAAAGACTATATCTAGAGAAATATCTAGTAGTTAGTACTACTAGTAGGTAGTAGCTTTGTTAAGGATAATATTTATCCTCACATTAAGTATGTGATGAAGCTGTATCAGGAGGGTTGAGGCTGGATATTAGGAAAAGGTTGTTTACCCAGAGGGTGGCTAGGCAGTGGAAGAGGCTCCCCAGGGAAATGGTCACAGACTGATGGAGTTCAAGATGTGTTTGGACAATGCTCTCAGGCACTTGGTGTGATTCTTGGGTCTGGACTTCAATGATCCTTGTGGGTCCCTTCCAACTCAGGATATTCTATTATTAAGTTTCAAGCCTTTACCGTTGATGCTTGTCATAGGTTTTCAAACCTTACATTGACTTTTACACAGTTCTGCAGCTTATTCATTCCAGCAAAGAATTAGTAAAATTAATCAGTTATCTCACTTGCTCCTGCCATTATTCTCATATGCACAAGAAATCATAAGAACATTTAAACACAGTTGAGTATTCTTTCCATAATAAAAATGAGTTATGCTTTCTAACATTGCTGGGGTACTGCTATAATAAATTCAGTATAAGTGTATCAAGCCATGGATTATCTCTGTCAGACTGGATGCCACAGGGCTTGAAGCCACAGCATTTTGGTGGGGTTGTGAGAAGCACCAGCAACCAACTCCTGACTCCCCCTAAGATCCTGATTCACCAAGAGCTGTGAGTCTCTGCAGTACCAACAACCATCAGCATCTTATTTTGTTGGGATCCAATGTGTCTTCGCTCATTGGGACTAATTTCTAATTTGAGAAAGAAAAGTATTGTCTGGTACATTATCCTATAAAACCACCCTCTGCCATAACTTATGAAACACTATAAAGACTGTATGGTGATTGTACCTATTAAAGTTGAACATAAGGTCAAGAAAGAATTTTCTTTCTGGTTTAGCACTGTGATTATCTTACTGTAACCAGTGCCTCACCATATATTCAGTGGATTTGTAAATAGGGTGAAATTTATTAAAAAATAAAATTAAAACTAGTGGGGAGGGAAAAGTTTTAAAGGGATTTTTGTTTTTAAATGTTCAGTGCACATTTGCCAAGAAATTTAATTTGAAAATAAATAAACGTGGGCTAAAATCCTGAATGTTTCAAGAATGTAATTGCACTGTCTTCAGGGATGCAAACAACATAGGTCACCAGAGTGGAGGATCATTGGTCAAGTGGAGTGATTGTCTGGGTGACCGATTTTAGTTATCTGGGTTCCAGCTCTGTCTTAAACGTATTTTTTTCCTCAGCAGACAGATGCAGTTTAGTTCCTCTTGAAGCTGGAGGTTTTGCACTTGGCTTGTCGAATGAAGAAAACATTTTCCAAACAGAGAAGTAGGTATATGGGAAAGGAGGAGATAAAGGTCAAATAAAACACAACTTTTATATTTGGTGTGTCAAGTGTTGAATTTACAAAGAAAGAAATAACAGGATGTAAAGAAACCAGAGCCTCAACCTGTAGTACCCAA